AAAGATTAACGTTGATAAATACTAATCCTTTAAATTCCTCAAATTATTTAAATGCGAACGTACTTTTCTTTAAATGACTACATGCGAACAAGTGCGAACATAGGGGGGAGGGGGGTCTAGATTTCTTAAAAAGTGCGAACGTACTTTGTGAATCACCCCTTACCTCTTCAGATAGGATTATCTCCCGTATCCATAATAGATAGAGATTACTAGTTTAAACAATTGTGTAGCTTAATAAATAAAGTTTCATTTCCATATTATATTATATTTGTTAAACAAGTCAAATAAATTCATGATCTAGGACCTAAGAATGTGCTAGGAGAGCTCTGGGAGAGCTTACTTATACAAGTTTACATAAAGTCATAGTTGTTGAGCACATTCTTAATCTAGGTTCTTTTCCGGGTCCAGATAGTCGTCCCGTTTCTGGTTTTGATACGGAAAATAGTGAACAACTAATGCTCGCGAAAACCTTATGATATAGTCCTCGTCGAGCGGATAGACAACAGTATCGCACGATTTGGGAACAATTGTCAAATTGAGATAGTTTTTCACATCACCATAATAGTTGTACTCGTTTTGAAGCACCGTGATCAAATTATCGGTGATTTCAAAACAAGTGTTTACATTCACAGTCTGACGAGCGGTACGATTGACGCAATGGGCGGTGAATTGCGAGAGATAGCCAATAAAGTTGGGCAAACCCTCGTAGGGCCGGGTGTTTGGCGGCAAATTCAGGTACATGTCATACATGAGACCCGTAATACTGGCGGCCACCTCTGCCTGGAGAGTGAACCGGACCTGTAAGTTGTTATACTTGCCCTGAGCTATGCTTTTGTAAAATGACCGGTACTTTGGCTTAATGTTCAAAATGATGGATCGCTTCTCATTACTGATCTGCAAGTCATTGGTCTCGTCGACAGAGAAATACAGTTTCGGGTTATTGTCATTGGTTTGTGTTATCTCTTCGCCTAATTCCAAGAGTTTGTCGTATTTATAGCCAAGTTTTGTGACGTTAAGAAAATCTTTAACATAATAAGTGCCTAAAACTCCGGTCTCGTCGTAAAACTTGAAACTAGTGTTCAGATAACGGGGTTCGTTAACGGGTTCGCCGCCGTTGTTTAACCACGACTCCCATATGCGGTCTATCATACAGTGATGGGACCAGAAGATGGGGTCCCGAGCGGCCAGACACAAGTCGGCCATATAACCTCCGGGACCGCCCGTAGAGTCATGGATGTGATCGTGGGGTAGATTTTCCAACAGCCCCTCGCGATTGGACGCAAACACGGGATTTCGGACGCGTCCGCCGCCGAACGAACTGCAAACGGCCAACGGATCCGACAGTTTGGCGGTGAAGAACCTACTTCTGAGCGCCGGATACGGGTCGGTAATGGCGGCGCTCAACGGTTTGCCTTCGTTCACACTTTGGCACCGTTTCTCAATATACAGAGGGTTTTCGGTCATATTGGGTGGCATGCGGTACGGCTCCGGCAGTTGGCGTTGCATTGGGTCCGCGTAATCCCAATAGGGGAGCGCAAAGTTGGGATTACCCGACGCCCGGCGTAGGATCCGCTCGAAGAAGTAGAGATACATTCGGTGCCATACTGTGAAGAAGTACTCGGCGTGATTGCACTGTTGCCAATTGTATTTGGCGGCGACCACGTTGGACGCCGGCGACCCGTCGTACTCCGGGTAGCCGTGAATGTTGGCCTGATATGTAAGGCTCGTGGGGTCTAAGAGTTTGCGCGCCTCCATCACTCTGAAGCCACGCCGCAGGTCTTCCCACTCACTAAACGTTAAAGTATTGAGACTTTTCCGGACGAACGGCCGATACTTGATCTCCTCTTCGGCACAAATGCCGCCATTTATTGTCAAAAACATAGTTATTATGCGAAGAGATTTTGTGATTGACTGCAATTAAATGGTTTGATATTTATTGATTAATATTTTTAATATTTTTGTTACCATTGTTTTGGTGATTTGATTAGTTCTTAAAGAAAACTATTGGTTTTGTATTAATTAAACACAATTAAATACATATACAGTATATATTTATAAATAATTTAATTATTTTACTATAGTAAATCATCCCTTTTATTTTTGATATAAATTCTTGCAAATTAATGATTAATAAATAAAATGTTTATAAAAAATATTAATGTTGGGTTTAAAAAGCTCAATAAAAGCTCAATAAATGTTTGATAAAATCCCATTAAATTAAATTAATTCTAAAATATAAATGTTTTTAACAGTTAATTAAGAGTCTACAAGCAATTGTAACCCATAAAGAACTAAGTTAGTATGTTTTTAGCAAAAATATCCAGTTTGCTCAACTTGATTAAATTAATTACAAACACCCAGTGGGGTATTGTCCTTTTATTTTTAGCCCAAAAGTTTAATAAAGTTATTATTATTAATAACATAAATTATCCGTTAATTAATTAAATTGATCCAAAAAGAATTTTTTATTAATTATATAAAATTGTTTAACAATTTATTCAAAGATATCAGATTGGTAAAAATTTTAACAAATATGTAATACAAAACTAAACGATTATTTGTAATACTTATGTATTTTTAAGACAAGTTATTAAATAATAAATTATTCATTCAATTACTAATTACTTTTAAACTAATTAATATAATTTATTCTTTAAAGACACATTAAAAACAACAAACAAAACAAAACAACAAAACAATAAAGTGCTTTTTAGAGTGATTATCTAATTTTGATTTTTAGTCTCTTGATTAACTTCTTGAACATGGTTTTTATCCTGATTACTGTCCCTATCCTGGTACTTGTTTTGATAATTATTTGAGTTTGTTTCCGGGTTCACGTTGTGGTCATATTTCTGATTTTGATTGTAATAGTGAACAACTAATACCTCTGAAAAACTAATTATATAATCCTCATCGAGTGGATAGACAACAGTATCGCACGATTTGGGAACAATTGTTATGGTTAAATAGTTTTTGACATCACCATAATAATTATACTCATTACGTAACACCTTAATCAAATTATCAGTCATTTCGAAACAGTTAGTTCTGAGTGCAGTGTCACGAGTGGTACGGTTGACACAAACGCCACCAAAATTGCTGAGATAACCGATAAAGTTGGGCAAACCCTCGTAGGGCTGAGTATTTGGCGGCAGATTTAGGTACATCTCATACATAAGACCCGTTTGAGTGACTGATATCGATATCTGTAAAGTGACCCTAATCTGTAAATTGTCAATCCGACCCTGGGCCATATCCATATACACTTTTTGATACTTTGGTTTAATGTTCAAAATGATTGATCGCTTTTCATTAGTGATGGCCAAGTCGTTGGTCTCATTCACAGATATATACAGTTTCGGTGAATTAGCATTAGTTTCGGGTATCCTTTCGGGTAATTCCAAGAGTTTGTCGTATTTGTAATGAAGTCGTGAAGCGTTGATGAAATCTCTGATATAATAAGTGCCCAAAACTCCGGTCTCGTCGTAAAACTTGAAGCTAGTGTTCAAATACCCCCTCTCTGTGTAGGGTTTGCCGCCGTTGTGTAGCCACGACTCCCACACGCGGTCAATCATGGCGTGATGGGGCCAGAAGATGGGGTCCCGAGCGGCCCAACACAGATTGCCCATGTAGCCTCCCGGACCGCCCGTAGAGATATGGATGCGATCATGGGGAAACCTCTCCAATATACCCTCCAGACGGCCCACAAACACCGGGTACTGAACTCGTCCGCCGGCCAGCGAACTACAAACGGCCAACGGATCCGACAGTTTGGCGGTAAAGAAACGGCTCTTGAGTGACGGGAACGGGTCGGTAATCTCGGCGCTCAACGGTTTGCCATCGTTCACATTTTTACACCGCTGCTCGATATACAGGGGATTCTCGGTCTCGTTGGCCGGCCAGCGGTACGGCTCCGGCAGTTGTCGTTGCATTGGGTCCGCGTAGTCCCAGTACGGGATCGTTAGGTCCGGACTGCCGGACGCCTTGCGAAGGATCCGCTCGAAAAAGTAGAGATACATTCGGTGCCATATGAGGAAAAAGTACTGATGGTGATTGCACTGTTGCCAATTGTACTTGGTGGCGATGGCGTTCTGGGCCGGCGACCCGTCGTACTCCGGGTAGCCGTGAATGTTGGCCTGGTATAGGAGGCTCAGCGGGTTTAGCTGTTTCCGGTCTTTCATCACTTGGAAGCCCCGCCGTATGTCCTGCCACTCCTTGAATGTCAACGCATCGGCACTTTTCCGGACATACGTCCGATGTTTTGTCTCCTCTTTGGCATCAATTCTCACATTTATTATTAAAAACATAGAAATTATATGAAATGTTTTGATAATTGCCTGCAATTAAATAATTCGGGTATTTAGGGCTCAATTCTTTGATTATTATTTGTTTGTTACCATTGTTTTGATGATTTGATGAGTGATTTAGTACTTATTAAGTTGAGTATTGTCCAGCTTCTAGTGTGATAATTAAACACAGCTAAAATATTTAACTAGTGTAATTATCGATTGCAATACATTTTATTTTATTTTTGATTAAATATTTATTTATTTTGTATAAGAACTGATTAAGTTTTAAAGAAAAATAATATTGTGTAAAAATAATTGTTTCATTGACTCACAGAATCCCATTAATGTAATTATTAAGTAAAATCTGTTACTCAAAAAAATGTTTTAAAAATATTAATCAATAATCCATAAGTAATTAAAATTAATTAATCTAAAAATGTAATTTTTCACACAATAACAGGTACTTGATTACTTTAGCAATACACACTCACACATGGATTGGGGTATTACCCCCAGGTTAGTAATACAAAGCAATATAGTTATCAAATCATAAAAAGTTTTTTACTAAAACATTTAATATCATTTAATGATTAATACATAATTAATGATAATTGAATGTAAATGATTTAGTCTTTGTAAAAACAAAATAATTATTATAGATGGACCGTAGTATCCTGACTTAAAGCATGATTTTGTTTATGGTAATCATTTTGTTCTTGGTCTTTGTTTTTAGCTAGGTCTTTGTCCTGGTCCTGAACCAGATCCTTGTTCTGGCTATCTTTCTGGCTCTGGTTTTTGTACGGAAAGTAGTGAACGACAAATATTTGCGAAAAACTAATAGTATATTCTTCATCGAGCGGATAGACAACAGTATCGCACGATTTGGAAACAATTGTCAGATTGAGATAGTTTTTCACATCACCATAATAATTGTACTCAGTGCGCAACACCTTGATCAAATTATCGGTGATATCGGTGCACTCGTTTAAGTGTGACGGCTGCTGACGAGACGTACGGTTGACACAAACGGCGCCAAAGTGTGAGATCTGACCGATAAAGTTGGGCAAACCCTCGTTGGGCTCTGTGTTTTGCGGCAAATTCAGGTACAGGTCATATAACAAACCCGTTTGGGTTTCAGTTACTGTGGCCGCGAAATCGACCCTGATCTGTAAATCATTCACCTGACCCTGGGCCATGTCCATGTACACTTTGTGATACTTTGGCTCGATGTTCAAAATGATGGACGTTTGCGCACTATTAATATATAACGCTTCGGTCGCGTTCACCGAGTAATACAGTTTGGGATTACTATTGAACGTCTCGGGTATCTCTTCGGGCAATTCCAAGAGCTTATCGTACTTATAGTGAAGTCGTGTCGCGTTATAGTAATCGCGCACATAATAAGTGCCTAACTTTCCGTTCTCGTCGAAAAACTTGAAACTCGTATTCAAATACTGGGCGTTGAGCACAGGTTCGCCGCCGTTGTTTAGCCACGACTCCCATATGCGGTCAATCATACTGTGGTGTAAGTAGAAGATGGGA